CATAACGACTCGCTTTCGTTATTTTTCCGTACATTTCGTGTATTTTCGATTTAAACGTTAAATAAAACCGATTTATTTCAATTAATACACGTTTCCGTTATTTGTTACGAGAAATCGCTAACAAATTATTCAAAATAGATATATAGCTTGGTAACTTCCAAATTAAGTCACTTATGATTAAGTCATTAATAAAGATAAGCTCCAAGGGTTATAAGAATTAAATTGATACAAAATGTTGTAGCATCAGGTTACCCCTGGTAAATTTAATAATTTGAAAATGGCTCATAAAATGACTACAACGACACCTAATATATTGTACATGAAATGAATATTAGCTATGGTTGTACTGTAACTAATTTTGATTGCATTTTTAAAAGTTTAATTATGAAATAAGTCACATAATCAAACTCGATAAGTAGGATAAACAAGTACATAATAGCAGAATACATGACAGACACAGCCTCTGTATATTGATTTAAATGTAATGCCCTTTAAACTAATTGATTGATTAAGTGCCACATATACTGATACCATAGTAACAATAGTGATTATGACTACTGTTCACCACAAGGCTCTGGTATTATATACAGTAAACCAAAACTTTATCAAAACATTTAATTTTCATTTAGTTGTTAAAAAAGTTTACAACAAATATGACAGAGATTTTTAAAGGAGAGACACCCGAAGACATTGACAACAAATGTCTAGACGTTTGTCACCGATATTTGGACGGCGTTTGGAAAGAACTAACTGTGGATCAGCTGAGTGTGAGTCGGATTAGCGGCGGTTTTACAAACCTTACGTTCCGGTGCTCTTTGACGGGCGGCGCCGAACCGGTGGCCGACGAACCCCGCGATGTGTTCGTCCGCTTTTACGGACCGAAACTGATTCCCGACACCGAGTCTTATGAACGGCTTTCAGACGTTATGGTTAATCTGTTGGCGTCGGAGCACGACTTGGGACCCAAGATATACGGCATATTCAGCGACGGTATGATTGGACAGTACATCCATGTATGTAATTATCACTCCATTTAATAAAAATTTATTAAAAACAAAACACTAATTAATTAATACAATGATAGAGTCATGCCATGAGTCTCGAGGACCAGAAGAATCCCCCATTGATTGGCGAATTGGCCCGAAAAGTGGCCAAATATCACGCCCTACGGGTGCCGATGGCTCGGGAACGCGATCGCCAGCGCAGGATCTTCGAGGAGTTCTACGGCGGCGCCCATAAAGAGACGCCCGGATTGGACCAAATGCTGCGAGAGGTGGGCGCACACAACTTGGTTGACCACAATCTACGGGAAGAGAACGAATGGCTGCACAGGTGTGTGGACGCCATCGGATCGCCAATTGTCTTCTCTCACGGCGACCTCTTCTGCGGCAATATACTGGTCGCCAATCAGATCCGAGAGGGCAGCGACACGAATGTCACCTTGATCGATTTGGAGTACTCGTGCTATTGGCACCGGGGTTTCGATTTGGGC